CTATCACTATAGTTTCTGATGAAGAATTCCTCTCCAGCTTCCCTGTAGGCCCCCTTTAGATACTGGAAGGTTGCTATCAAGTCTCCACACAACCTTCTCTTCTCCAGGCTGAACAGCCCCAACTTTCTCAGTCTGTCTTCATAGGGAAGGTGTTCCAGTCCTCTCATCTACTTCATGGCCTTCCTCTGGACTTGCTTCACTGGTTCCTTGTCCTTCTTATGTTGGGGACACCAGAACTGGACGCACCACTCCACATGTGGTCTAACAAGAGCAGAGTAGAGGGGTAGAATCACCTCCTTTGATTTGCTGGCCACACTCCTTTTGATGCAGCCCAGAATGTCATTGGCTTCCTGGGCTTCAAGTGCACATTGCCAGCTCATGTTGAGTTTTTCATCAACCATAACCCATAAGTCTTTCTCTGCAAGGCTGGTCTCAGTTACTTTTCCATCCAGCCTATAGATGTATCTGGGATTGCTACCACCCAGGTGTAGGACCTTACACTTCACTTTGTTGAACTTCACGAGGCTTACGTTGGCCCACCTCTCAAGTCTGTCAATGCCCCTCTGGATGGCATCCCTTCTCTCCAGTGTGTCAGCTGCACCACACAGCTTGGTGTGCTCAGTGAACTTGCTGAGGGTCCCACTGTCCATGTTGCCAACAAAGCTGTTGAACAGTATCAGCCCCAGTACTGACCCCTGAGGGACACCACTCACCACTGGTCTCCACGTGGACAATGAGCCATTGACCACAACCCTTAGTGCAGCCATCCAGACAGTTCTTTATCCACCAAGTAGTCCTTCCACCAAATCCATGTCTCTCTAATTTAGAGACAAGGATGTCGTGCAGGACAGTGTCAAACACTTTGCAGAAGTCAAGGTAGATGATGTCAATTGCTCTGTCCCTATCCACAAAGGCTGCAGCCCTGTCATAGAAAGTCACCAAACTAAGAAAGGTGCTAAATTAAAAGTGGTAAGTAGCAAAATACAAGTGTTTTAATTTAAAACTCCTTTGCATGATGATTAAATTCTACACCTGCAGCTTTCAAACACTTTCAGCCATTAATCCTTTCCAAAAAAACCTCAGACTGAGACCTTAGATATAGGAAATCCTTATCCCAGTAATGTGAGAAGTACATTTACCACTGATCCCACAGAAGCCAAGATTGCCTGCAGCCTCTTATTCCTCATTAAAGAGTACCTTTGGCGAAACAAGCTGTTAGCTTCCAACTCAGCTTCCTCCTTTGTTTTCTCTAGACCCCGACGCTGAAGTCTCAGGGCTCGTTCCTCAGGATCAACAGTCAGGAGAAGAACAAGATCGGGTTTAAGCAGATCCTCAGGCCACTGGTACACTTCATCATGAGCTGGTGGAAGATCCTGCACTTTCCCATTTGTTTCAGTGGCAATTGTGTAGGCAGCCGTGCTGTGCCAGTATCTGTGAGGAAAATACAAAATGAAGAGAGAAATTTTAAAGAGGACACTAATTCTTTTGTAACATAGGAGAGAGTTGTCACTATAATGATAAGTCAGTAATGATGAGACAGGTGACATGGTGGTTTTGAGGGGAAACACAAAGAACAGTTCTGTGCCATCCATTATTTCTTAAGAGTGATAATACTCAGTGCACTATTCAGAGTTCATGTGAATTATTAATTAAAACATATGGCGGTAGCTACACATTAGGCAAAGAGAGTTCCAGATGCTGCTATTGAAAGAAATTCTTCTCATATATTGAGTGAGGTCAAAGAAGAGTTATATTTTATCTCAAAATCCAATCCTCTGAGTCCTTTTTTTGTGGTTCCCATCCTACTTCATGCAACAGATTTGCTAGAGAACATACAATCTTTACAAATATTTGAATTAAAACAGGCATTAATAATGGTTACACATTTCACTTGGATTTAATGTTCACTTGCATTTCATGTACAAGGTAATGTGTTTGATGGATCAGTGGATTTGAAACTGGTTAAAAATAGTACTTACATACAAACAAGTCTGTGTGTATCCATGTGTGTGTGTGTGTGTGTTATGACGGGAGGTCACAGTACACCTACTGAAATAAGCCAGAGGGCTCAAAGTGCATCTAGACCTTCTTTATTAAGAGTAATACTATAAGCTGCCTATATAGGTTAGTAAAAACTAGAAATAACATGAACAAACCCAAAGAAGTTGGAAGCATGTTTCTGGCTTTACATGTGCAAAGAGTAAGTCTACCTAAAACTCAGTCATTCCAATCCACCCATATCTCATCTTAGAGATGGCCATGACCAGCAGCCCACATTCTCCTCATGTGTGTCAGAAAACTCTGGTTTAGCTCAGGATTCAAAGCCTGCGTGTCCACTATTCCTAACCGGAGATGTAATAATTTCCATGTGTCCTAAAGCTAGTTATGAATATTACACTGATGGAAGTTACCTAACTTACTATTATCATAAGTATTACTCTTTGGAAGATTTAATATTTATCTGACTTTCTGCAGAGTAGTGCTTCAAAGAAACCCCCAAAACAAACCACAAACAAAAACAAATCAAAACAACCCCTCCCCCAAAGAAAACCAGAGACAATTGTTGACTACTTCTGCTTGTAACACTGAACGATTGTATGATGGCACTGACTTAAGAGGGTTTCTTTAATATACGAACCTGTCTATGATCACAGGTGCCTGAGTGGATGCTTTCGCTATTTCTGAAGCAAGAATGTAGTTGCCAGCAGCATAAAATGCTCTTTTAATGGGTGTTGGTTCATCATCAAATACAGTCCTCCACTGGCTGATGCAAGGTGGTGGGGACCTCAGTAGAATGCCATTCAGGTGGTCCTTAACAGCCTCAGTCACAGTGGTTTTGCCTGC